TCCTTTTTTTTTTTTTTTGAGATGGAGTTTCGCTCGTCGCCCAGGCTGGAGTGCAATGTCTCGATCTCGGCTTCACTGCAACCTCCACCCAGGTTCAAGTGATTCTCCTGCCTCAGACTCCTGAGTAGCTGGGATTACAGGTGCCCACCACCCCGCCAGGCTGATTTTTGTATTTTTGGTAAAGACGGGTCTTCTCCATGTTGGCCAGGATGGTCTCTAACTCCTGATCTTAGGTGATCCATCTGCCTCGGCCTCCCAAAGAGCTGGGATTACAGGCATGAGCCATCGCACCCAGCCAGGATATAGGATCTTTTTTTATTTTTTATTATACTTTAAGTTCTGGGGTACATGTGCAGAACATGCAGGTTTGTTACACAGGTATACACGTGCCATGGTGGTTTGCTGCATCCATCACCCCGTTATCTACATTAGGTATTTCTCCTAATGCTATCCCTCCTCTATCCCCTTGCCCCCTGCTATCCCTCCCCTAGCCCCTCAGCAACGCAAAGTGATGGGATTACAGGCATGAGCCACTATGCCTGGCCAAGCCCCAAATTTAAGTGATGGGCAGAGGAAGAGAAATTTAGGCAGTACCGGCTGGGGCGGCTCAAGAGTGGGGAACAAACCAGAGTTTTAAAAAGTCATCCACATTGCCCAATGCTTTTGAGAATTTAAGACACACAGATCTGAGAATTACCCAGGAAAACCACTGGCAATGGAGGTGGGTGCAGTTTCAGGGGAGAGGAGGGAGCTGAAGCCAGATTAGGGTGGGTGGGATGGGAGGCACGGAGACCAGAAGCGCAGATGATTCTTTCAAGGAGTTTGTCAATCATGACATATTTCAATTTAACTTTTCAAACTGGCTATCCCCAAGTGGAAAGCATCACATGTTTTAATCACATCAATTCTAAAAGTTCTTATATTTCCAGTGTTTGGTAGTACTTAATCCTTGAGCAATACCATATTATGAGGATTTAAAGAGCAGTGACGATTTCGCAAAGCTAAGTCAACAATTGGTTAAGACTCCAAACATCTGCCATATGGTTAGAATGACTGACAATGAACTTCAAAGCAATATAGGAGTTATTCAAACAATAAGCATTCAGACCTTAACCTATTCGGTTTTTCTTCAACTTCATGAAATCGCCGAGGGTTACACAGCTTTCAATGATTTGATCATTAATATGTTGGATGACATTTGAGGATTTCAAAAGGGAACATGAAATCAGTAATGTGTTGGTTTTATGGTTTGTTAAAATACTACCCAGTTGAGTAGGCATCTGCAGAGAGGGAAAAGACCCAGTGGATAGGAAGGGGTTGAGCTAGGTTTGGGGCAGGAGAAAGATTCACAAAGATGAATATTGTCTTAGCTTGGATCCCCACAATGCAGAGCATGAGATAGAGTCTTGCTGTCTTGCCCAGGCTGGAGTGCAGCGGAGTGATCTCACCTCACTGCAACTTCCACCTCCTGGGTTCAAGCAATTTTCCTGTCTCAGCCTCCCAAGTAGCTGGGACTACAGGTACACACCACCACACCTGGCTAATTTTTGTATTTTTAATAGAGATAGGGTATCACCATATTGGTTAGGCTGGTCTCGAACTCCTGACCTCAGGTGATCCACCCACCTGGGCCTCCCAAAGTGCTGGGATTATAGGTGTGAGCCACCACGCCCTGCTGAGAACCCCAGTACCTTTAAGGCCTGTCTATTTTTGGTATTGGAGTGATTATTTCCATCTTATCTCCTTTACAGCTTGGTCTGGAGAGTTACCTTAGACTC